GGCAACAGCCTCTGCCCCTAGCCACCTTCACCTGATGGTTAGGCTATATTTTGAGTGGTGAATTTCAATCCCTGAAGGTTAAGAAAGAATAACCATGGCTTTCCCATGCTCCAAGTGAGTAATTTAACCCAAGTGATTTAACCCTTTACTAGGGTAAAGCATGAAGAAAAAATTGCATGTTATTTCTCATAATATTTCTAGGAAAGGAAACTTAGAATTCCTAAAGAGATGCCTAAAGCCAGGTCTGTTAATGACTTCTAATATATATTCAGCTTTTAATTATGCAAGATACTGTTTATAGATGTTTACAATACACATTTTTTTAAATCAGATCCCACAGAGAAGATATGCAAAGAAATGTCTAAATTATAGGTTATAATGAATCTCTGGTATGAGATGGATACTTAAACTGCACAGGACTGTAAAGATTGAAGTACCTTAGTGCACGCCCAAAAGGATCTCACATAATGTGGTAAACTTTCCTGCTGCAAGGTGCTGCATATGGATTGATCAGTAGTTAAACAGAGTTTTTACAGATCATGTTCCTCACAGAAGGTAGGGGCTAAACTATGCTTAACTCCCTCTTTGGGAGCTAAGTCACTGGCACATGATTTTATGTGTATAGTATGAATGGTTGAAGTTACTTAAACTGTATTTACTAATGAGAAGGGCAGGGAAAAAAGAATGTTATCTGTTTAATTTAGTATTCTGCCTTGTACAGACATCGAGTTTTGGTCCTAGTTATTTTTTGGTTTTGGGGGGCTTTTTTGTGTGTTTTGTGATGTCAGCAAAGTTCAATATCCTTGATCCAGTAAATTATAAAGAAAAAGAGGAATAACACATTTTTTGTTTAAGCTTTTAGAGTTTATTCTCACGAATCTCCTTTTACTGCATTGCCCACAGGAAAGAGACATAATTGAGTAAAAGAAAGATAAGTAAGCACATGCAGATATTAATTTGTTTAAAGTTAGCCAGTATCTGAATGTATAGATAAGTTACTCATGTTACTGCTAGGTCATAAACTAAACTGATAGCAAGAATATGTGTTTGCAGTACAAAGGAACAGGGAACAGTAGAGAATTTTACAAATATGAATTACAGAAATCTCTTGAGGAAAAGAAACATAAGAACAAAGTACATTCATAAATCACAGTTAGCATCCATATAAAAAAGCAGACAAAGAATTCAGTTTACTCCAAGGTTATATATGGTGTATTTTTTTTAAATGTGGAAGCGAAGCGATTTGCTGAGAGCCTCCTGAGATATTCTGAGCATAAGCAAATTCTACCAATATTGATGAGAGTTGTGAGAAAGCAGCACCTTTATAGACAAGATGAAACTGTTTTGTGAGCTTTCTAGGGGATCAGATAGCTGAGCTGCAAAAACTTAATAGAAGCTAGACTATACCTTATTAGCCCATATACATACCAGTCTTTGTCTAGTGCAGTCTTATGGTATCTCCATTACAAAGTGATCTTGTAATCTGTTCTGTGTCACTGGGTAGTTATACCTAGTGACAAGTTTAATTGCCTGATGGGAATAATATTCCACATGAGTGCAAGAGTACTCCTCTGAAACAGGATTTAGTAACTTAACAAAATTAATTATTTCATGATGACACAGTGTGGCATGCCTCAGGCTTCTTCTTGTTGCTCTTGCTACTAGTAAAACAACCCTTACTATTTGAGTGATTGGCTGTGTGAACTATGCAAAATGGGCTGTTCATTCCTGTTTTCTCTCTGTGTTTTGCTAAAGTTTCATGATGTCTTTGTAGGTAATATTTGTCAAAAGGAAGAGTTAAATCTAAATATAGTAGACAAATTACTGTAACTGCTATTCAGAACTCAACTGCAATAAGAAACTTTATTGTTTCCTCTTGCCGCCTCCTCTTGGTTTAGCAGTGAATTCCAATGAAAAATAAGAGCTGTGGTTCTAGGGCAGCAAGTCTGTTCTACAGTCAGCTGCTACACTGAGAAACATCTTCATTACACATCTGAGATAAATTTGGACTTGAATTCCATATTCTGGGTAGTGGTAATGAAGAAAATAGTCTTGACCCTGACTTGTGGGATGGCACATGAGGGTGTTAAAGACAGTGTAAAGAACTACTCAGGGACTTTTAAAATTATTTATATCAGCTCTAAACCATCTTCTCAGCAGGTGAAAAGCATGACAAAAGTCTGCAGCTTTACTGAGACACTAAAAGGCACTGGTTCTTCCTGAATATTAGATAGGCTAATTTAGGTAACAAGAAGTTATTAATATCACTCCATTGATAAAAATGGTCCTAAACTGACCCCAGAGTAGGAGCATAATGAAGTTAGTATGCTCCCCAAGTTCTGAGGATACACACTGACTTCAGATCTTCCTGTCTCCAACTTGAGATGAAATCCCATTGAGATAATCCTCCTTCTATAGGAATGAGATTTAATAAATATTATAAATAAAATAATGACCAGGATTACACTTTTCCAAGTGCCTATTCAGATGATCGCAATGATTTTACTACCACTACATGCTAAATATGTTCAGTACTGAACATAATCCACAGACCATATGTTTCATCTGCTCTGTCTACTGTTAACTCCATCACTTCAGTACGATAACTCCCGATTCATGCTTGAATGATCCAAAGCAGAATTTGACCCACCTTATACCAGAATATTGCAGATAAAAAGGGTTAAGATTTACCTTAGCACTTAGATTTTTAGGAACCACTCATTCTCCACAAAAGGTCAAGCTATCTTGCAGTAAAGCAAAAAACAAGCTACCTTTCGACTTCTAAAGTTAGGTCCAAAGCAGGGCACACAAGCAAAACAGAATAGCAAATTGAATGAAAGCAGTAGCTCAGGCTCTGTTAGTCAGTCTGTTTATATAGTGGGATTATTATTATGATTAGTGCAAGTGGACATGGATAACCCTCTTTCTGTTTCTGAAACACATCCGCAGATCATCCTCCATTTAAATCTGTCTGTTGCTTGCTGTGTTACTGGAAAATACAAAAACAAGCATCTGTGTTCCAGATAGGCACAGCCCCAGAATATAAATGCCATTTAATATCCAGTCAAAACGTGACACTAATGTGTAGGTGGCAAAGTGGAAGTAGGGATATGGAAATAATGGGATGCGGGGGAAGAAAAAGTTAATAGGTAAAAGAGATATATACAGAAAAAGCACTTTTTTTTTTCTTTTTTTTTTTTTTTTTCCCCAAACAAGATGTTGCTCTCTCCACCTTTTACTTAGACTAAAATCAGCTGAGAGGAATCCATCTCTCCCTAATTTCAGTTGGATACCAGTCTGTTCATCCATGAGAAGAACTTGGCATCATGTTGTAGCAATGTCACTTGTTCTGATACTTTGGCAGTACTTTGTCACTACATCACTCCCAAGGCATGACTTTGGAAATTGCATATCTAACAGAATTTTGCTACCTTAAAACCATTCAAATCATACTATTCCATTTTACAATAGATACATATGCTGTTGTATTGTCAGTTATTTATGTTGTCTAAGACTTCCCTCATTAGCTTCAGTCATTCAGCCATCTAATTCTGCTGACCAAAAAGGCTGCTTTTTTTTAACCCAAGAATAGCTGCATATGTTGTGCAATTTTGCTGCACAAAATTTTTCATCAATAATCTGCGAGTTTTGCAGTCCTTTATTGATGCAGACTTAGACTCAAGCTCAACCAAAATGCTGTTTGTTAACATTGCTTGTTAGAGTCTTAAGGTATTTCTTTTGCTCCCTATTAACAGAAAAATTGAGTACTTAAAACAGTAAAAAACCAACTTGACACTCTAGCATTCTTCTGTATTTTCTAAGCCATCAGACGAATCTTACAGCTGCTGCCATGCGTCCACATTTAGTAATGGGAATCCTGGGTAGTGGCAGTAGCAGCAAGGTTTTTGAAAATTTCTTCCCATTTGATACAACTGTGGAAGTAGGTAAGTGATATCCCTTACAGCAGGCTAAGAGCATGTGGTAAGTCCTATCCCTAAGCCATTTCTGCAGGGAAGAAATCTATTACTTCTACTCTTGTAAAAGTAAAAAATGGCAACTTGGCCACAAATAAAACAGATGTACATAATGAATATACACGTCAGCCTAGCAAATAAGAGGTGAAATCTAAAGGTCTTTGAGGTCTGGCTAAATTTTTAAGTTTTCATACAGCTTTCTGAAGAGTAATTGGACCTGGCTATGAATATTGCACAAAATACAGGAATAATTTGGTTTCATTTTACCATAAATGAAAATTAAAATAGTCCCACTACAGTTAGAATGAATATTTGCCTTCATGTGTATGTATGAAACTGCTGTGGGAGCCATAAGATATATCTGAAAATGAATTTTCATCATCAAATGAACTTTCATCCTACAGGACTATTTAACATTCATGTCTTCAGCACCTGTAAAGTTAGTCCATTTCCTTTTGTGCAGCAGTTTTCTAGTTAATCAGTAGCTAGTTGGGGAACTAATAACAGTGTGACAGCTTGACTCCATTCAGGTAGTGTTTACCAAAACTCATCAATGGGCTCACACAGTGAAGACTGCACATGAGCCAGCCCATACGTGCTATTTTGTTTAAACTTGATTCATATCTACGTAAACTTCGGTCATACCAATAGATTCCAATTTAGATACATCGTTACCTTTTTTCTTTTCCTTTGAGCTCCATCTTTTCTTTTTCCTTCTTATAGCTTCCTTTATTACCAGGTTAAAAATATGGAAACATATATTCTTTTGTGTTTTCACAGCAAAGCTTTAGGCCGCAAATGTACGGTTGCATTATAGTTGCATTATTTTTTGTGATTTCCTTAGGTTTCTCTATAGCAGAGAAGCAGCAATAAAATCAGAAAGTTGAGTAGAAAGGTAGAGAGTAGCCTAATGATCACAAAACCTACGACTCTATCCAAAAATCACCCTTTTTAAAATTTCTCCTTTTTCTTTTTTCTTTCTCCTTTTTTCTTTCTCCTTTTTCCTTTTTCTTTTTTCTTCTGCAGCATTCTGACTCCAACTGTAACCTGAAGAAGCGAGTAAACTCCATAATGTCACAGACAGATCAGTCTCCTGAAGCCAGCATGAGATCAAATAGTGCATCCCAGTGTCGACCAGTGTCTGTTCCTCCACCAGTCCCACCACCACCACCTATTGGAGGCACAAGTAAAATAGACCAGTATTCTAGGATCCTCTTTCCAGTGGCATTTGCAGGATTCAACCTCGTATACTGGGTTGTTTATCTTTCAAAAGACACTATGGAAGTGAGTAGTAGAATTTCTGAATACTTCTTTATAATATATGTTTACTTGACCTATATTATTTTAATTGTTCCTTTACTTTTGCAAGTCCAGTTAATCAATCCTTTCTGAGGAAAGTTACTGGTAATAGCTTTCTCTAAAAAATCAGCTGTGGCTGCCAGTAGTAGTAGTACAATGCAGAAAGGCTATTTGAAGATGAGAAATGTAAACACTTATCTCTCTGCCATGTAGCACTGAGCAGAACACATTGTATAAGACAACATATGATGACATTCTCAACAAACAAACTAATCTTAAATCTTGCATTTCTTAATCTTCCTATCTGCAGTAAGGAATGGTAGAATTATCTGTTGAAGCAATGCATTCAAGGAGATAGAACTTTAATATCTCCTAAGGTTTGCTCAGTGATGTAATAAGATAACAGTCTCCCCAAAATTTTCTTATTCATTCTAAACATTTATCCATAGTGTGAAGAATTAACATCTGCAATATACAGTTTGTGAATCGAGAGTCCCTGTTTTTACACATTTTAACACTGATTTTTCCAGTTTCTTCATATAGCTGAACTGTTTTATGCCAATAAAGCTGCTAAATTTTTTGCTTAAGTTTGTTTGAATCAGGCAGAGTGATTATGTCTTTAGATATCCATGAGGGAGGTCCAGAAGAGATGTGTGCCCTGCAAATTGAGCATGTCTAGAATAATCAGTCAATGATTAGCTTATATTTTTCAAGCAGTCATTAAACTTTAAGTCTTTAATGCTTTAATTCTCTAATTTTTCCCTTTTGCCTAAATACAGCTAATGGTGTCCTGTTTCCTTGGTAAAAAATATATTCATTTGCCTCCTTGCCATAGAGTTTTTGAATCTCACTGTATCTTGCAGTCAATATGATTGCTACATTTAGCTTTATTTAGGACAGCTAGAGAGATAATGATGGTATTTAGATAGTACTGAATGCACAAAGTCCCTACATCAATAAACAGAGGCTGACAATCTGGTATGAGTGGTGAGCAGTTTGTACCTTTATTTCCTAGATTAGAGGTAAAGCAGGCCAAGGGAAATTTCGTGGACAGCCAAGAGATGTTGCAGTTCAAAGTAACGAGACAGTGCTGCTCAGCTGATTCGTGGCACCTTGCCTCTGCTTGAAGCAGAGGCTACTAGCCTCTAATTTTGCTGATTTTTGCTACTAGTATGATCAGGGAAAATGCTGTCTCTCAGAGATGGAGTGTGATGCCAAGCAGCTTATATGAAGCCAAGAGAGCAGGAAGATAGGAGGCACTATCTCTTACAAATGTTTCTGCAGATGTCTCTCTCAAGAGGTCACAGCTGCTAACTCCTGGCCTCTCAAAATCTGCCCAATGCTAAATTTAGCATTTGTGCCAGAGTTACTGATCCTGTTATTAAAATATTGACTATGTATGCAAATTACTTATCTCAATCAGAGAAGGGAAGTATCAAAAAAGCTCATGTATAATCATTACAGCTTCTGTTTAGAGGCCAGTTTGTGTAGCTTGCCCTAACTCTAGTATTTTTATTCAACCATTCACATTTTGGATCTAGAAATATTTGGAAAATAGTTGCCATTTCCCTTGGTAGTAATGAAATATTTACACGGAACCTTGTATATTAATAGTTACATTAGAACTAGGCTTTTAATATACTTCTGAAGTCTAGGACATAGTGCTGAGTATAAATATTTTTAAAATGCCACTTTTGCCAGCTCACAAACCCACTCACAAACTCATAAATTCTGTTCTGTAGTAGCCTTATAGAATGACAGAAATCCAGCAGCAAGGTTTAGAAAACAGAACAGTATTGACAGCTGGGGTGTTTCAATGATGAAGAATGTAAACAATTATGTAAAATGTCGATCAAGCTCTTCTTCATAAATTACATTTTCCTCTTTGTGTACTCAGTTGTAACTAATAATGATTGTGATATACATTGCTAGTTATCTAATTCAATATGTTGTATCACTTTACGAGTTGTTACTGTCAAGGAAAACCAGAATTGGTTTTGCTTTAAAAATATATTAAAAATGTGTGAGTTTTTCCACTGAAGCAGAAGAGATACAAAAGTTAGGTGAGCAAAACCTGGCATGCTTCAAGACCAGTTCAATTCAATCACAGGCTCAAGCCCAAAAGATTAAATATTGGTACAGTACTACTCAGTTAAGAGATATAATTTCATTTAAAAAGTGCATTTTGTGTAGTGTTTCAGGTATACTAGCTTTTCTTCTTTAAGTTAATTCTTTGAGTTCATTTGTCTTTAGTTTAAAAAACAAAATTTAAAAAAAGATCTAATAATTTCATTGAAATAACCAAAATTCCTGTGCACAAGTTCTTGTAGTGCACCTTTCTAGGATTTTGATTGGTATAGTTTGGAGGGCAGAACATCATTCACCTAAGTCTGTTATTGTGGAGATTCCTAAACAGCTACCTACTGTCTTTGGACAGTACTTAGTCTACCTTTGCCATATCATTCACAGTGCATACGCTGTTCTCACATCTTCTTACACATCTTCTTTCTAAAGTAACCTGTCTTAACTTTTATATGTAATGTTATATTAGAGTTTTTAATGTAATGAAACACAGAATGATGGAGTGAATCAAACTAAAGAAAAATGTGATGTTAAAGTTTAAACTGCTGAAAAACAAGCAAAGGCCAACTTTTATGTTTGGGAGCAGAGGAAGGTACAAAGTCACTGCATTTACTAAATATACTGAGTCCTGGATATTATTTGGACACAGAGAAAATACTATCATGGCAGAAAAAGAGTTACATAACAGGTTGAAGGAGGAGATGAGATGCTAATGATGCATGGGTCAAGTGGGAAGAAACACAGAGAAAGAAACAAGAACTGGAAAAGTATTTCGCTTCAGTATATTAGTATTAATAAAGATTGCACTGCATATTGTTACATCATGTTTCAGTTTAAACACTGGAAAAATATAGTTCAGAAAAAAAAACAGTCATTGTCATACACACTTACAATTGAGCTTTGACAATCCAGGTAATGAAGATCACATTCTAAGAAGATTCTCCCTTGTAATGCACTTCTATTTTAAGTCTGCTGAGGCAATTAGAAATCAGGTGGTTTTGTTGGTTAACTTTGTTGTTAACAACCTATGGCTTAAAGTTCTCTCTAAACTTTTCTTTCAGTTTTTTGAACCTACTGCAATGCATCTTCCAAATGACCTTCAGTCCAACTGAAGAACAGTTCGAGGTTTCAAAGAAATCACTGAAGGTCATGTAGGTTTGAAGGAACTTCAAAGGATTTGTCTATCCACAAGTGCTCTCAATTTTCAAACAGGGAATATTTATACTGGACATCACCTGGAAAAAAACTCTGGACAAACAAAAAAGATAGAAAATGCACAGGGTTCTAACAATACTTTCTTAATATTTCTTACATTGATTCTACTATAAATGATCTTGTTGAATTATTTTGTTGAATTGTCAAAGAAAAGAATGTGCATTTGTTCTAATTCTGTTATAAACAACTGAATGTTTACATGATATAAAACATCAATAACAGGATTTTTTTTTTTTAAATGCAATAAGGATTGCTAAAATAAGCCTGATTCTATAACTTAGCATGATTTCAGTGAAAGATTTCAGTGAAAGGGTAGGAGCTGCACTGATTTGCAGCACTTAAAATTGACCCAAAATAGTGTTACAAAATCCCATGAAAGAGAGTGCAAACCCATAAACTTTTCATAGAAAAGATGAATGATGAATTCTGATTTTCTTTAATTTCATTTTCATCTCCTTTAATTTGAGATAATATTTACGAAGAACAAGATATAAGAAAAAAAGGAAATAGAAGCCGTGTACTTTAGCTGGTTAGTTAAGATACTGTAACTTTTTTTATTGAGACTGACCATGGAAGTACAACCAGACTAATAACAAGCTATTTCTGGGCAGGATCTAGAAGCGCAGGACTGAGATGTCAGAGAGTTTTCAAGGTCTAAAGCTGAATAGACAAAAAGATGCAGCCACCCACTGAGCTAAATGCAAGCCTTCAGCTGCAGGAAACTTCCTAGAAGCAAGTCTTGAAAGCTATTTAAAGAACAAGCTGCATTGTATCAGCTGATGCTACTAAACTGTAGCAAAATTCCCTAAAAAAAACTGTAGAGGCAAAGTACAGAGTACAAAGCGTATTCAGAGTTTAAAAGGTAATAATATTTTAATTTATTTGTCATTCTCAAAGAGTCACAGGATTTCTTTCTCATATTTCATAGTCATCTATTATTTTATTTGCATGTTATCTCCATAATCCTTCTTAAGAATGTGATTAGGAAAGCAATGCCTAATCAAATCAAAGCCAAACCAAATTTGTTGCAGGTGTAATGGACACTGGTCGGAGTCAAAAGCACACAAAGTTTTACATACAGCCAAGTAAAAATTAAGGATTCCTCTCTTTAAATTATTTTTAGTGCATTAAAATTAAATTACTTGTAATTTAATTAAAATTAAATTACATGTAATGCTGCATTGACACAGGAAATTCAGGGTCTTTTGCTTTGTCTAAACAAACATCTTTAGTAATTGTGAGAAAATATTTTGGGGCTGACTAATTGACTCCAGTCAACTGCTTTATTGGCACTGTAACAATTTTAACTACCTGATGAGCTAGCTCCAGCTGTTTTCCTCCTCCTCTTATAGCTTTTACTAGTGTGGTAGCTGGACTGAACATGTGAGATCACTTTTTGTACTCCCTATTCTTTAGCCCTGAAGAGCCCAGATGGGGACAATTTAAGTAGACTCAAGTCAATAATAACTATTGTTTGCACAGAGATGTCACGTTTGCAGTTTGTTTCTTCTGACTGGTCACAGGCTGGCACACTTGGATGTATTTATAAGTGCAATGAATTATTTCTTCATTTTTGCTTTGAAACTAAAATTGTGATAATTTTTCCCATTTTCAGCCTTTATATACTTTTTTTTTTTTTTCAAAATTAAAATATGGACACCAGGCAAGTATTGTATAATTTGTAAATACATCTTATTTTGCAAAAAGCAAATTTTGCTGTAGCAACCCAGAGGTTATTTTTCAGTAGAATTATATTCATTCTTGCTTCACTGACTGATTTTCTATTTTGAGTACATTAATATTTGTAAGAGTTTTCAAAGTACTTTAAAATTGATTTATACACAAAATGAAAATGTTAAAAGCTATGGAAAAACAAGTGACACTGAAGAAGCTACATTTTGTATCTGATCTTTGTCTAAAAGAGATCTAAATATAAATTTTACAGCAGATGCAAATAGTCACTATTTCCTTGGAGTGTAGTATTTCAATGTATAAAATAGTGGTAACTTCCTGATGAGGAAGCTGTATCGGCACCTTAAAAATGTACTAGCAGCTCTTGGTATTTAACAGCATATCTCAAGATGATCACAAAGAATGCTTATCTTTTTTCAAAGGAACTTTTCATGTTTAAAAGATCCAGAAGGGTTGGTTCTCCACATTTGTTTGAATGGAAGGAAGGGAATATGTATTTTTCCTGCTAAATGCTTTGTAGAGACACAGGTGTAATCAATAATGTTAATAATGTCAAGTTATATCTTAGAATAAATGTAATTACTTACAATTCATGTCAGTTCTTAACAATCCTGGTTATGGTCAAACACTAACCAAACAAACAATAGAGTAAAAAGAGCAGATAAATGGAAAAGGGGTTTTTTTATATATATGTATATATTTATGTATGCAGACATACATATCTATTTCCGTAGAAAATATAAAAAAATATGTATTTCTCTCTTTAATACAAATTTACAGGAAATTAGGGGATATGGGTTTCTTCCAGTATTTTGACTGTATTGCAATAAGAAGAACAGGAGCTAAAGTTGCTGCAAGATGGGAATTTGTATGTGCAAAACAGGACACCGCAGGGGAGGAGACCAGTAACTACCTTGAGCTCTCACTCTCTGGTGGTACATTACTCAACATTGACCTAACTTTCTATGTATTTCAGTAGAAAGGACAGTCT